CGGGGCTCACAGTGGTGAACTCGAAGTAGTAGAGGCAGTTGTCCGTCAGGATGAACCAGCGCCGCTTCCAGGTCTTCACGCGGCCCCCTGCAAGAGGCCCGCGGCAGGGGAGGTCGGTCCTCCTCCCCTCCTGGCCACCCGTGTCCCCTCCACCCCAGGGCCGGGCCTTGTGTGTGCCTCCCTGGGTCCCAGCAGAGGAGGCAGAGTCCCCTCACCCGCCGTCCGCCACTTGCCATCCGCCCACAGCAGCCGCAGCGGCCCCCGCACCCTGGGCTTGCCCCACGCTGGGCTCCCTGGTGACCAGGCCCCCGGAACAGGGCGGCCCTGCCCCGCCGTCGCCCTGGGCTCATGCCCTGGCCTGCTGCGTGCGGTCACTCAGTGGGCACTTCATCTTTTATCTGCCTGCCTGGTTCTAGAGGATTTGGGGACATTTACCTATTGACCCTCCCGGGGTGGGACGGGAGCCCTCTTAACCACGGTTACAGCCGCAGGACCCGCCGTCTGCCCTGGGCCCTGCCAAGGGGCAGAACTGAGGCCCAGACCCCAGGGGCCCGATTCCAGGACTCAGCCTCTCAAGGGATCACTGTCCCCACTCAGCTGCAGAAGCTGAGGCCGGAGCCTGACCGCTGGCCTCTGGTGAAGAGCAGGAGCGTGAGCCCTGGGCGTGTGGCTCCGAGCACTGCCCCTGCCTGGTCAGGGACCGTGACTGCAAGCAGACGGCGGGGGCTGGACAGAGGACAGACTGGGATGGGCAACAGGGCTCAGGGGGCGCAGGGGCCTGGCACTGGGCTGGGCACCCGTAGACGCTGGGGGCCGCCCTGGCCGAGGGCCTGCTCCAGCCCGGAGCCTGCAGCTGCTGCCCTGCCACGCCCAGCGTCCTGGGTCACACTTCACACTCCCTCCCCTTCCTGAGGGCAGCCCTCTGCCCCCACCAATCTCCACTGGCTGGCTGTGGGACCTGAGGTGGGTGCCTTGGTTCCTCAGAAAGGCTGGCTGCAGAGGGACTGCAGTAGGGGGGCCTGAACAGACAGCACCCCCTTAGGATGCCTCTCCATCTCTCCAGCAGGGAGGGCCGGACTGTCCACAGGTGCCTGGGCTTCCCCGTGCCTTCCAGCCTGGCTCCCCGCCACCAGCCCCTCACTCCCAGGACAGATGAATGAAGGGAGGGTGGATGGGAGGGTGGGAGGATGGATGGGAGGACGGGAGGATGGGAGGACGGGAGGATGGAGGATGGATGGG